ATTAATTTCACATGTAACCTTTTAGGAATGTAGAACAGTGGTCAGAAATTGTGAAACTTTAAACTGGGCCAGTTCATTTTGCAGTTGTAGGCTGAAGCAGGATAAAAGAAACACTCCCACCCCGGCCATCCCCTACTCCCCATCTCTGGATGCTGCTTGATTAGTCCTCCAACAAGCTAACTGGTGAGAGTGCCACTCTAAAGAGAGAAGAGACCCCTTCTTTCACAATTAGAGCCCTTATTAATAACTGGTTTCACCCCAAAGAAACCAGGCAACTCTTAAAATGTTTGGCTCCAGTTTACTTATATCACAAGATTTGCCTTTTCTTCTTTACTTTGTGCCCTAAACAGAGAATAGAGGTTGTCTTTCAGGACATTCGATCCCAGCAAGATTTTGGTGAGCTTGGGGGAAGAGGAGTGAACGATGTCCTTCATTATTAAGAGGGTTACTTAGAACTTTCCCCTTTTATTTTCAGTTGAAGAAACCAGAATTGTTGCCTTCTAACAATAAAAGGACATTTGCTTGGGGCTAGTGCTGTTTCCTAGAATGAATTCTATAAAGAGGAAATCATGAAAAAGAAAATGGAGTTGGAAGTCAGTTGGAAGTCACCTAAAGATCACTTTGTGATTATTTTTACAGCTTTATTAAGGTATAATTGACATATAATAAAGCCCATATAAAGTGTACAACTTGATAAGTTTTGACATACCTGTGAAACCATGACCACAATCAAGATAATGAACACATGCTCATGCCTCCAAATTTTCTCATGCCCCTTTGTAATCTCTCCCTCCACCTTTCTCCATGACCTGTTCCCCCATTTCCAAGCAACAACTGATCTGCTTGTCGCCATAAATTAGTTTGCATTTTGTAGAATTTTGTACGAATGGAATCATATAGTATACACTCTTTTTGGGGGAAGGCTGTTTGGCTTTTTTCTTTTTTACCAGAATAATTATTTGGAGATTCATCCATGTTGATGAGCATATCAATAGTCCACTCCCTTTCATTACTGTGCAATATTCCATTGCACAACTATACAATTTGTTTACCCATTCATGGACATATACATTGCTGCCTGTGATTTTAACCCAATCCATTTATTTCACTCATGGAGGAGCAGAGGGCAAAGGGGAGGAAGTCTTCATGGAGGGGACTTGGTTAAAGTCCACAGTGCATTTGGGAAATTGTGAGAAAGCAGCCTGCTATCCTGGGAAACTGTGCCAAGAGGCCTGACAGTTTGAAGTGTGGCCCAGCCTGCTTTGCCTGGGATGACTGTTCTTTTGACATCTCTGAATCCATAATAATACTAGGAATTGGAATAAAAAAAGATTGTATAGCATTTTGTCT